AACTACTCCTCAATCCTGCTTACTTCCAAACCTGCTCAATATCAGCCTGAACTACTCCTCAATCCTGCTTACTTCCAAACCTGCTCAATAACAGCCCGAACTACTCCTCAATCCTGCTTACTTCCAATCCTGCTCAATAACAGCCCAAACTACTCCTCAATCCTGCTTACTTCCAACCCTGCTCATTACCAGCCTGAACTACTCCTCAATCCTGCTTACTTCCAACCCTGCTCATTACCAGCCTGAACTACTCCTCAAAGTCTGTCTGTCTCAAAGTAATATTATTTGGTGTTATGTGCCTGCTTGATCAATACTCCTTGTAACTGGGGGCTAATTAACTAGATGTCTCCTTTTCCTGTAATCCTGCAACCTATTAGTTCTGTTTTATTTGTCCTATTTTAACCTATACTTTTATCTTTAGGTTTTCTTATTATTTACTTTTATTCCTGTTTATAATCTATTTAGGGCATATTGCCTAAGCCCCACAAATAAAATACCTGAAGTCAACCCTGGCATAAGTCCCCTCTCTGACCTGCTCATAATCATTACAATAACCAACAATTTTGTAAAATAAAATGAATAAAGAGATAGGGGAAGTGGCTGCAGAATGTCAGAACTGATTCTTGGCAACATTAACCCAGGTATTCGCTATTCATCCTGAGATCAATAAAATGAGAATCGGTATTTGGTAATAATTGGGAAGGTACTTGAAAACTGGCAAAAGTTAGAGGTGCTTTTGTTTAAATGCTTTATGTAGAATATTACATTATTAATAGTAGTTTTTGATGACATTATTTTATTTACTGTTATCTTGTGTTGCATGATATCACTTTCTAACTCCTTAAATTCCATATTATCGTATGCAGTCTATATTGCATTATATATTTTATATCTCCATATATTCTGTATTGGATTATGTTACCGTATAGCATCCTATATTCTGTGTTAGATGATATCACCAAATCTTCTTATATTCTATTTGACAATATTATCTCCTTATAGTCTATTTGACAATATTATCTCATATTCTACTTGGCAATATTATCTCCCTATATTCGATTTGACAATATTGTCTCCTTATGTTATATCTGACAATATTTCCTTCTATTCCATATGTGAAGTGCTAAATGTTTTTGACGGCTAACCTTGCATTCTGGGAAAAATACCGGTTGAATTCCACCCACATCCCGGGACCGCCTCTTCCTTTCTGGTGTTCCTCACATCAGCCCACCTTCGTGATCTCCTGGGAACTTTCGAACCTGTGCTGGGAAGAGTTAACAGCTGTTTGGGCCAAAGCTAATCTCCTCCTTTGACTCACTTTGACACCATGGAAACATGCCTTTAAATATAGCAGAGGAAAGTGCTGTAAAGGCTTGGCTGATGAGGATTCCCATGGGAAACAGGAGAGGTTATTTCTCTGGTTGTGGAGCGCTCAGCTGGAACTAATCATGGATTGTTAACAGGATGCTCAGCATCAAATTACCCCAAGCTGAAAGTGAGATGGAAAGCCAGGTCTTCTCTACCCAGCCTAATGCTTACATACAGCACAAGCCATGGGAGCAAACTAGCAAAGAAACAGCAAAACCACAGAAATGTCCTTTGGAATATCTCACGAAGGAAACAAATTATTGTCTGAGTTCGGCCTTTGTGCCCGGGATGTTTATTAAAAAATCTGTTTTCTGATCCTTTGACACTGAGATTGAGGTGGCCAATAAGCAACAATAAAAAGGTTAATGTTCTCAGCATGCTAACATCTTTCTTAATTTGCACACGGCAGAATGCGCAGTGTGCAGACAGGGAAATATATACTATGGATCATCTAAAACATACAAAAAATATAGGAAAATAAATATTCTGAAAGGACATCCGAACCTGGTCTACTGGGAGCATATTTTTGTCCTTCCAAACGTCATTGCAAACACGCTTTATGTGCCATCACAGAATCTGTAAAATATTGTAATAAACACATGTAAACATATAAGGTATTTTACATATACATAGTTTTTGGGAGGTTACTTGGTCCTACGTATACTTCATTAGAAGATCTATCTATGGACAATAACTGCAGTGGTGTTCCTTCTATGGACCACACAATGAAGCTGTGTAGCCCAGCAGGCAGAGCAAGTGGTGTCCCTGTGCACTATTACCTCTTACACAGCTGTATTCCATCTGAATTAACACTTTCAGACAGACGTAATGTTTAGCTTTGTGTGCCACCACAATTTGTATAGGTGGAAGACAATACTTTCTTTACATGTCCTTCTGAGTTGATACATGAAATGTGTGAACTACATCATAGCAGTAGAGTGCACAGGGTTATAAGGTAGTAATATTGGATTAAAACATTATTGTCATATCATCATTCCAATTTCCAATTTCTATTAGCGTTACTTGGTAAATCACTACAAACTGTGGAGAATCACACATTTTAGGCCAAAATAAAATTTGGATCATTCTTCAGCTCTGTTCTCTGTTTCTGTGAGTGTTGTGTGTGTTGCCGAATGCTGTACGTGGTGGGTAGGACTCTGAGTGTGCCGGTGTGTGCTAGTTCAGTGTTGTGTGTGTTGCTGAACGCTGTATGTGGTGGGTAGGACTCTGAGTGTGCTGGTGTGTGCTAGTTCAGTGTTGTGTGTGTTGCTGAATGCTGTACGTGTTGGGTAGGACTCTGAGTGTGCCTGTGTGTGCTAGTTCAGTGTTGTGTGTATGTACTGTATGTATTTGGGAGTCTGAGTGTGGATGAATACTTTGTGATTGTAGTGTGTGAATATGTTGAGGAAGAAGGTTGAGTTTGTGTGGGGAAGTTTTTCATTTGTTCCCCTCCTGCTTACCCTATGGCAGGACAAGAAGTTGTCCCTTGTAGTCCAGTGGAGACCATTATTTACTGGTGATCCAATGGGAGAGCACTGCGATCTGCACCTCTATCAGCTGTAGATAATTTTAAGAGCTCCTTCACTGGCTGCGGAGCTCTGAGTAACACCTGAAGAAAACAATGGAGCTCTTAAGTGATCTGTACCCAATAGAGGTGCAGACCACAAAGCTCCCTCAAGGTACTTTTGATCTCCCTGCAAGCTCAAGGAGGGTCCCTCACAGCCAGAGCTCCAGGTCCAGACAAGAGCCCCCTAGTCCCTTGCTTGAGGCCAAGCCCTAGGCAGCCGCCTATGTTTCCTTATTAGTAATGTGAATCTGAGTGTCACCTAAAAGGTCCGATAATCCTTAAAGGACCACTATAGGCACCAAGACCACTTCAGCTTAATGAAGTGGTCTGGGTGCCTGGTCCAGCTAGGGTTAACCCTTTTTTTTTTTTATAAACATAGCAGTTTCATAGAAACTGATATGTTTATAAATGGGATAATCCAGCCTCTAAAGCCTCTAGTGGCTGTCTCATTGACAGCTGCTAGAGGCGTTTGCGTGCTTCTCACTGTGAAAATCACAGTGAGAAGACGCAAGCGTCCATAGGAAAGCATTATGAATGCTTTCCTATGAGACTGGCTGAATGCGTGCGCAGCTCCTGCCGTGCATGCGCATTCAGCCGAAGAGGAGGAGAGGAGGCAGAGAGGAGTAGGAGAGCTCCCCGCCGCTGGAGAAAGAGGTAAGTTTAACCCCTTCCTCCCCCTAGAGCCCGGCGGGAGGGGGTCCCTGAGGGTGGGGGCACCCTCAGGGCACTATAGTGCCAGGAAAACGAGTATGTTTTCCTGGCACTATAGTGGTCCTTTAATGAATTTAGGTGTTAGGCAGACAATGCAGAGTTTTGCGAATACTGTTATATCATCAGGTTGAGTTATAATAAATTGTTTTCTGCATTCATCAGTTAACATTTTAGTCTGAGGGTAGGTTGTCAATTTAGGGATATCAATGGCTGCTTCAGTATGTGTGGAATGTACTCGAATTTGTATGTTCTCCTGTAGATTACTCAGACTTGTCCATCAGCAAGTATTCCTCCTCTTACACTGTTTCCACGTGTTATTGATCTTTATATTTTCTTAATCTTAAAGCTCCTGTCTGCTGTACTGACCAAGAACAATGGAATAGCTTGATCATTTTAAAATAAAGAATTTGGGTATTATTATAGAACATTGTAAATCAAAAAACAGGTTTGAGTGAATGGAAAAGTCATTACCGAAAAAGTTTAAATCTTTCCTGAGTGATTCATATCTCAACAAATATATTTTCCAGCTCTTTCCAATATTTGTTCCCTGTTAGTTTCGATAAATTTGGTATTAAGATGCTCTCAGTTGTTTTAGTTGGCACTCTGTGTTGATATTTTCTTTGTAATGTATTTTCTGTCTTTTTAATCATCTGCAAATGTTCTTCACATGCTGACTTCGTGAACTTACAGCGATGTTTATTAGATGTTGTAGGGTATGTATTATCCAGGCCTAGTGTGCACTTACCTGCCATCGAACGTCTTGTTAGCACTTCAAATGGTGGTAGTTTACTTTAATGCATGCAATTAAAAGATGTCATGACCCCGTTAACGCAGACACTTGTTGTACCTTCTTTGCTTTTTGTTCAGGCCAACCCCCAGAGCGAAAAGGGAGGGGGAACATGACTGCTGCCCTGAGGGGCTGGCATAGCAACTAATAGGATTCAGTTGGTTTTACTGTTGATAGCAGGGAATTCTGGGAAAAATTACCAGACTACTGGGGAACAATGCTGAGGGAGCCTGGCAGTGTATTTTCTCTGGTACTCCCTGTAAAAATTACTTTATTAAATTGAGTTTCCCTCCCTGAGGGAACCTGGCAGTGCTGTTTCTCCTAAAAAAAGAAAAAAAAAGACAGAAATTACTTTTACCTTCTACTGAGAGTACAGGATGGCCCACATCCCTGCTGTGTCGAGGGAGGCCCTTCTTACCCTATTGGAGGCCTACCAGAGGACCCATGGGGCTGAATCCTGCAACTTGCTGATCCAGTGTCCAGGGCGAACAGACTGCTCAGGAGGGGCCGGTGCAGGAGGTGCAGATGAGTGGACATCTGGCCCGCAATTACAGACTGCATTCCAGACTATCCCCTAGTCCGGTGAGGAGGTCCAGGGTCGGAGTATCGCCAGAAGGTCCGGGGCCAAGTTTGGCTGGCTCCAGGTGGCAGGTTGCAGGCATCGCAAGGTGGAGGAATGGCAACAGGTGCTGCAGAGGTCGAGGTGGCTGGGATGAGTCTGGGCAGCAAGATGGCGTTCCCCAAGATGGCACCAGAGGTGAGGTGAGGTGAGGTCCTGCAGTCACCACCCTTATGTTCTGGTGGCTGCGGAAGTGAAGTTGGCGCGTGCGACCGCACGCAGGAAGAGGTGGGGTGCCGCTCGCTGGAACTCGGGTGGCGCGTACATGACTTCTGCACGACCCAGAACGCAGACATCACAGGCCCCCGACAAACCTGGAAGTCCCGGATCTCCTTGACTGGGGAATCCGAGAAGGAGCACCACTGGCCCCCGGCAAGTGGGGCTGGCCAGTGGGTGGTAGCGGGCTGGTGGAGGCCAAAGAGCACCAGGGAGGGACGCAGGATTCCTCTCCACATACTGGATGGACCAGAACTCCCTGGAGTGTGAGCCGCCGCTCCCCTGGCGGAACAGCAGGCAGGCGGACTGCAGCACCTTCACAACAAGAAGGACCGGAATTGGAGCCTGGGATAGAGAGACCCCTTCTCCTGAACCGTGAGTTGCAGTGCACTTGAGCTTGACAGGAGTTAGGGGGGGATTCAGGGCTAGTGGGGGAGGGTCAAGAAGAATTGGTGCAATTGCTGCATTTAGTGATTGGCCGATTAGCACCTGCGGGGACGTTGGGGCAGCGGGCGACGCGCAGGGCTCAGCGCTTCTCTCTGGGGCTCCTCCTTCAGGTACAGGTGAGGTGAGTACTTTGGGAGGACCTGTCTGTGACATGGCCCCCCTGGGGTTACATGTGTCTTTGCAGGTGAGAGAAAAGATACTTAAGGGTGAGTATGTGGACCTACTCTCCTTGGTCCCATTTGACATGGAGTCGGCAGATAGACTGCGTCGGTGTGACGAGGCTGAGGGCGAAAATGGTAAGCAGCTTCCCCATACCTTTGGGAATGTCACATCATGCCATGTTCTGCAGAGAAGTCTGGTGATGACTTCTGATATCCAGTACTCTTTTTACAATTCTTGTTTAGTTTTTCTTGGTTTTTTGGTTTTCTATTCTATGTCTGGTTTTCTTTATGCTGGTTTTTCTGGGTTCATTCCTGTAATCCGTCCCTGGAATTCCCAGTCTCTTGGATTCATTTAAATGTTTGTTTTATGTTGCCACACCCGGTTGTTTTCCATCATTCCTTTTGTTTCAGTGTTCCTGCAGGCAGCTGCTCAAGTCTTCTGCCCTTTCTTGCAGGTAAGTACTATGTGTGTTTTCTTTGGTTTTGTTTAGCTTGCATTAGGCAGAGTAGGTCCTAGATATGGGGTACATTGGCGTTGTTGGCAGGCTTATGCTATGTATGATCATATAATGTGACTAAATCCCCATGATTTTCATATATAGTACTTAGTTTTTTTCTCCTCTTGTTTTGCCTATCATATCTTGTCTTGTTTTAGTTTGTATTCCCAGTCCATGTACAGTCCTGTCCTGTCCTGCCCATGTTATGTCTATGTTTCCCTTATGTATTGTGTACATGTTCTGGGTTTAGCTTCCTATACTTCTCTGTTTCTGGGTTCTACTAGTTTTGTCATGTTTGGTGCCTCTCCTAGTCTTGCCTTGTCTTCTGTACTGGATACATTCTTGCTGCAAAGCCTCCCTATCTAGCTCCTGGGAGGTCTGCATATCATCTAGCTCTTGGGATCCGCAGTAGCTGTATCAGGGACCTGGTATGTGGCCGCACAAATGCTGGTGCTCAACACCAGAGGGCATGTGGTTACCCTGCACCAAGCCCTGATAATCCACTTCCACGCTGAAGACTCCCAACTTCTCATCAGGCACTCTGGGGTCCCAGTTTCCGTACCGCCACCCGTGACAGGGAATTGGTTGCAAGGATTTGCTACCTATGCTAGCATCCTATCAGCTAGGTTTCCGTAAAAGCCCCCATCACTGTTTTTGTATTCGGACTTGATTTGGGGGGCTTATAAGGTGTATGGGGGTAATGCATGTTTAAATCCGACCAGCAGTTTAGAAAAAAATGAATAAAAAATATGGTGGTTAGGCCAAACCTGGATTTCGGTGTGCAAGATGGAAACCTGTGGTTGCTTCTCATTAATCCCTGTTGTCCGTTGGCATCTTACTTTCTGTCGGCCGCCGCCCTTCCGGAGGAGCGTTGGCGGGTCACAAGAAGGGCATCTGTTGGCTCTTTAATGAGAGCCACTGCAGAGGGTACAGCAGTTGTAGGTTTAAGCATGAGTGCTCCTACTGTGGTGGGGCTAACCCAGCCGCAGTTGTTTTAAGAGGTGAAAACCCTCCCAAGGTCGGCATCCAAGGTTGACATTCCTCGGGGAGAGGACGCCAGTGAGGGTGGAAAGACTGGTGCCGTGGCTTGCACGCGATCTCAGGCCTTCCCATTTACTCCGTCGGGGGAGGCGTAGTTGTGCCTAACCTGTCCTCCGTTCGTGGTAAGGAGGGGGTCCTGGCAGCTGAGCTAGGGAAGGAGGTGGAGCTGGGATGTAAAGCGGAAATCAGTCTTACCCGTCGGGATCCTCTGTTCACGATGGGATTTCAAAGGAGGACTCTCGGGTGTTATATGCTTCTTTCGATCGGGCTTTGGACCTGGTTCACGGAGCAGGACCCCAGGCCCTGTTGGCAACGTCCGATATCCAGTCACATAAAAAGCTTCTACAGGTGTGGCTTGACCTGCATGGTTCACCACAACCCAAAGTGCAAACAGATCCAAAGATGACAAAACTCATAAAGAATCTGTGACGGCAGACACCATCACTGGGAGCATATGTCTAACACTTCATGTTAATCCCCAGATGGTTCTTTATAGGTGCAGGCAGGGCCGCCATCAGGGGGTGACAACCATGACTGTTGTCATGGGCCCGGCGGTCCTGGGGGGCCCAGGCACCCAGGCTCCCCCATTCCCAATGTGCATACATGTATATAGCGTTTATCGCTATATGTATGTGTTTTGGCAGTGGCATAACTATCTGAGGGGGCCCATCAGGTGGCCCATGCACTTAGGACCACCCGATGGGCATATCTCTAAAGGGGCCCGATCAGTGCTGCGGATTTTTAATAGCTAGTCTGGGCCCCTTTAAGTATCCTGGCAGGGCTGGGATGAAGTGAGCTCACTTCCTACCAGCTAACACCCGCACGGGAGGAAGCACCGGGGAGTGTGAAGAGGAGAGGAGGACAGAGTCAGACCCACACCCACATTAGCATCAGCCCCAGCCAGCAGAGTCCACCCTCCTGCATCCTAAAGGTAAGAACCATGAGGGTGGGAGGAAGCACTGGCGAGTGTGAAGAGGAGGACAGAGTCAGACTCACACCCACATCAGCCCCAGCCCCAGCCAGCAGAGTCCACCCTCCTGCAGGTAAGAACCAGGAGGGTGGTTAAAAAAGTGTGTCAGTATGTATGTGTACCTGAGTGTGTGTGTGTGTGTGTGTGTGTGTGTGTCTGTATCTGTGGATGTATCATTGTGTGTATCTATGTGTTTGTTTGTATCTGGTTGGCAGTGTGCACCTGAGTGTATGTTTTTGTTATTGTTTTATTTTTTTTTATTTTTTTATAGCAGTGCTGCAGCTTTTATGATCATGGTTTTCTAGTGACTGTATTTGATTTTTATGTACACTTTTTGTCCACAATATTTTTCACTGCTTAGTTGATATGCCCCAATTATTTTAGTTTTAGTTGGGGTTCTATTTAAATGTTTAATCAGATTGTTAGTTTGTTTTGATAACTTTGTTGTAATGTATATCTTTTCTATTTGACGCTGCCTGTCCTGGCTTTTTGCTCTTCACATACAGACTGCCCATGTTGTGTACGTTTTTATCTTGCATAGCCTGTCTTATATTTTATGTGCATGGCCCATTTTCTGTCGTTTGCATTTATTTTTTTAAAGTGTGTTGTTTAATTAGTGCAATAAATTTTTTACATTTTTTTTTTATTATATATATCTATCTGGAGCGCTCACGCTTTCTTTTTTTTCTGAGATTCTCAACTAAAGCTGTGTTTATTTGGTGTGAATCTGCCCATAGAATTGATTACTTTATTATTGTTTCTCTACATTTTTACACATATATTTTATTTATATTTTGTTTTTATGTGTATCTGTTTGTGTGTCTGTATGTATCTGTCAATGTGCACCTGAGTGTGTGTGTGTGTCTGTATCTTTCAGTGTGTATATCTGTGTGTCTGTGTATTTACATGTATGTCAGTGTGTGTCTGTATGTGTCCTATGTGTGTGTATGTATCAGAGTGCATGTGTGTGTATCTATGTGTGTGTCTGTGTATATTTGGGTGCCAGATTGCACCTGAGTGTGTATATGTGTCTGTGTGTGTATCTGTGTGTCTGTATCTGGGTGTTAGTGTGCACGTGAATGTATGTGTGTGTAACTGTGTCTGTATATTTTCATGTATGTCAATGCATGTGCCTGTATCTCCTATGTGTGTGCATGTGTGTATCAGTGTGTGTATGTGTCTGTATCTGTGTGTCAGTTTGCACCTGAGTGTGTCTGTGTATATGTGTGTATGTCTATGTATCTGTGTCAGTGTGAACCTGAGTGTATGTGTGTGTAACTATGTGCCAATATGTGTAACTGTGTCTGTGTATTTGCATGTATGTCAGGGGGTGTGTGTGTTTGTGTGTGTGTGTTTATATACTACAGACAAATGCACGCTTGCATTCAAACACCAACATTCAAATACACACATACTCCATTCAAAACCATGTTTATATTCAAACACACATACACTGCTGTGTGCTAAATACAGCCCTGCAAATTATAGATCCATAGCTAGCAAAGCATTCTGGGACTTACAACAGATTCGGATCTACATTTGGCCACTTTACACACACTGCATCCACTAAACACACACTGTATTGACTACACACACAGACTCTGCATTCACTCTACACACATAATGCATCTTTGTTGGCAGATTCAAGGATGGCCCTGTGGGCGGACTCGTGAGTGGGCACTGGGGGCCCAGACCTTGAACTTTGTCAGGGGCCCCAACATTTCTGATGGCAGCCCTGGGTGCAGGCTCTGTAATATATTAATACTTGAGGACTGTCTTGTGTAATCTCCTCTGTCTAGCTGTGTGGCGTGTGGAGTGCCACCCGTTGGTTGCAACAGCTATATGCACTACCTAAATAGCAAGGCTTGGTAATTTGCATATTTAGATAGATTTTTTGTTAGTCTTCATCTTCCCCACCCCTTTATTAATATTGTATTGGGTTATATTGGGTTCAGTCCTTGATCCCCTACTGTTCTCGATCTGTACTGCCTCCCTTGGTAAACTCATCAGCCCCTTTGGCTTCCAATATCACTTCTATACAGATGACATGCAAATCTATCTGTCCTCCCCTGATCTCTCCCCACCCCTCTTGACTAGTGTCTCTGACTGCCTCTTTGCTATTTCTAACTGGATGGCTGCCCACTTCCTTAAACTCAACTTGACCAAAACTGAAATTCTGGTCTTTCTTCCCTCAAGTGTTGTTACTCCTGTGTCTGTCTCCCTCCAAATCAACGGTACTACCATCAGCTCGCTGCCTTGGTGTGCTCTTTGACTCCGACCTCTCCTTCGTGCCTTATGTTCAGTCTATCGCCAAATCCTGCCGCTTCCATCTCAAAAACATTGTGCGCATCCGACCCTACTTAACGTCAGATGCGACTAAGGTGCTGGTCCATTCCACTGTCTTTTCTCGCCTTGACTACTTTAATCCACTTCTCAGTGGGCTCCCAACTTGCACCTTTACAGTCCATAATGAATGCGGAGGCAAGGCTCATCTTCCTGTCCGCCCGCACCTCCCACGCCTCACCCTTCTGTCAGTCCCTTAAACTCAACTTGTCCACAACAGAACTTCAGGTCTTTCCTCCCTCAAGTATTGCTACTCCCGTCTCTTTCTCTCTCCACATTAATGGTGCTGTCATCAGCTCCACCACTCAAGCCCGCTGCCTAAGGGTTCTCTTTGACTCTGACCTCTCCTTCACCTCTCATGTCCAGTTGATCACCAAATCCTGCCGCTTCCATCTCAAAAACATCAGATGCGGTTAAGGTGCTGGTCCATGCCACTGTCTTCTGTCACCTTGACTACTGTAATCCACTTCTCAGTGGTCTTACATGCTCCCAACTTGTTCCATTGCAGTCTATAATGAATGCGGCGCCGAGGCTCATCTTCCTGTCCGCCCGCACCTCCCATGCTTCACCCCTCTGTCAGTCCCTGCATTGGCTTTCTGTAAGATATAGGGCTCAATCTACTTCCCTTATACTTCCCTTACCTTTTGTGTCACTTTACCACACTCCCTCTAGCATGTAAGATGTCAACCCTCTGTTTCTGTGCGTCAAACTTGTCTGGTTACAATTACATGTTTGTTAGGCCACCCATTGTAAAGCGCTATATAATAATAATAATAATAATAATAATAATAATAATATGAGTGACTGTATGATTTCCCATATGTGTATGCTTTATGTATTAGATTGAGTGTGCCACCATAACTGTAATGTGGATAGGGGGTAGACCTGAGTGTAAATGAAGCAAAGCTACCTGCCTGTGAGGAGGAGGCATTGCAGAGGGTTCAATACCTGCCTGAGAGGAGGAGGCACAGGAGAGGGGTCGCTACTGGCCTGGGTCCAATATCTGCCTGGAAGTGGGGAGGCACAGGACAGGGGTCACTGCCTGCCTAGGAGGAGGAGGCATAGGAGAGGATCCAATACCTACCTTGGAGGAGGCATAGCAGAGGGCCCAATACCTCTCTGGGAGGAGGAGGCACAGGAAAGGGTCCAATACCTGCCCGAGAAGAAGAGGCACATAAGATGGGGTTTCTAACTGCCTAGGAAGAGGAGGCACAGGAGAGGGGTCGCTACCTGTCTTTGAGGAGAAGGAACAGGAGAGGGGTCACTACCTGCCTAGGAGGAGGCACAAGAGAGGGGTTGCTACCTGCCTGAGAGGAGGAGGCACAGGAGTGGGGTTGCTACCTGCGTAGGAGGAAGAGGCATAAGAGAGGGTCCAATACCTCCCTAGGAGGAGAAGGAGGCACAGGAGAGAGGTCGCTACCTGCCTAGGAGGAGACACAGGAGAGGGATTGCTACCTGCCTTAGAGGAGGAGGCATCGATTCTGATGATGTCAGCCAAGGAGGCAAATCGGGGGTGGAGCCAGTGACAGCAGATCCCTTTGACTCTGGAAATAAGGTTAGCTTTTAACTTGTTTAAGAGGGGCAGGGGATTAAATAGTGATTTTCACGGGTCAAGAATACATGTGTTCCTTTAAACAATTACAGCAATTGTTCTAGAGGGCCAAATTGTCCACTGAAATAGGTATAGAGGGCAGAATGCTTAACATTTAAATACACACTCTTACCTTTTGGGTGTAGGAGGGTGGCTTCCCTGGGATCCTGTGGGAGTTGGCTGGCCAAGGCTGATGGGATTTGTGTGTGTGCCTGCTCCTGCCTCAGCGCATGGCTCTCAGCAAGCTTGGAAAAACTGACCTAAACCCATTTCCTCTGTGACAGGGGTCTGCACCGGTGCACTCTTAAATGACTGCTGGATCTCTGATCTAAGAGCCCTCCTTTGGGTCAAATATTTATCCCTAGAATTTAACATTTTTAACCCATAAAGACCAAGGCTCCTTTGAGATGCAACTCGTTTGTGACCAAACCCTTTTTGCCACTTTTGCTATACATTCATTCTACCCCTGTTTATCACAAAATAAATGGACAGGTTGTATTTCTGACCAAAAAGAAAAAAAGTAAATGTTTTGTGACCACACCATTAAATAGAATCTAACTTTCTGGCCATAGTTCCATTTCTGTGATGTGATTTAGTCAGGGCACACCCTATGTGTAAAACCCCTGGCAGCTGCTCAGATTGGAGAACATAGAATAATGTGATGGATATTTGTGAGAGCAATGAGTCTGTTAGTTACGGAGCAGGCTGGTGTGATATACATTATTCCATTACTCGTTCTCTCTGTAAATAAATCACTGCAATGACAAGCAGCTATGATGTATTGGTACTTCTTACTATAACACGTTTTATGGGAGTTAGAAAGGATTTTAATTCTGGAATTTAACCGCCCTGAGAACACTTACAGGGATTACATTAATCACGGCCATCATTTCTCTGTATATCAGAGTTTACCAATGTGGGGTTGTATTGTAGCGGGTCATATGTTGGTCAGAAATACAGTAAATAACATACATGTTCTCAAGAGCAGATACATGGAATCTGAATTGAGGCCGAAATACGTATCTCTGAAGTGCCATGCCGGCGTATAACTTAGAAAAGTACTCGTCACAGATCAAGTGAGAAGGCATCAATTGAGGAAAAAAAAGAAAATCATTAAAAAAAAATCTATATTTTCATATTTATAGATTATTTATTTATTTATAAATATAGGAACACTAATTCTATAGTGTTATCTAGCTGGTCAGGTGACCAACCCTCTATCCCGCCCCCCCCCCCACCTCTCCCTCTGAGCACAGTTACCTTTTCTCCCACGCCGTGCTGCTTTCTCTATGGCTGGGATTATTGTCATTGAAGATCTCAGCAAATCCAATGCTCTCCAGTGGAAGACTAGTGCGCATGCACAGCAAAATAGAAATAAAAAATAAAGTAGAAAAAGCAGAGAGAGACACGATAACTATTAAAAAAAAGAAATATATAAGAGACACTCATGATTATAAAACAGGCAGTATTAGATTCCCAAAGAAAAGATCTAGTAACCCAACTAAGTATAATTGGAGTAGAAGAAATGAATGGCCACCGTTTCAAGAATCGTCACACAGATTCCAAAATAACTCCCAACAAACAAACATAAACAAAAGACACCCTAGAAACTCCCCAAATAAGTCTCAACCTTTGGTAGATTACAGACAACGTAAAACGTCTTTTAGGAGAAATGATTCACCATCTAAAACCAACTCCACATATCTCCGAAAAAATTGGAGATATAGTGATGCAGTAAAATACTCCCCTCCAATAGAAACAACACGAAAAAGATATGAGACTAGAGAAAACACAAGAAAAAGCTACTCTACATTAGGATATATACAAAGAATGAATCCAGCATCCTCAAAATATACATCAAATTATGTTGCAAACAATGTAGAAGATTATCCAACAAGGCAACCAGAAAAAGACAGTAGGAGAAGAAATAGGGACAGAGACCAAACGTCAGTAACTCCCAATAGAGAACTAAGAATAGCTGAGGACCACCAATCTTTTTTTCAGAAGGGATCCATAACAGAGAGATTAAAAAGATTAGAACAGCCCAATCTAATAAAGACGGGGAAGAGATAGACTCAAAAGGAATTTTTAATCTTACAGACCACACATTTACTAAAAAAGAATCTATTTTCAAAAAAGGTCTTAAATTCACACCTACATCGGAATTAAATAAATTAGATTTTTTTTATCGATATGAATAAATTTATGAGAATTTTATGTCGAAAAAAGATTTTTTATGGAAAGGAAGAGGTAACAAATAGGGAAATAAAAACCCCTTATGTAACGGACCATTTTGCACAAAAGGGGTAAAAACCATTTAGGCGATCGTCTCCCTTTCCAGAGATGCAGGCACAGCTACTGCAGAACACGAAACACACGAACCGCCAATAAGTGAATGCTCCAAACACCCGAACTGCATTCAAGGGAATACTCCAAACTCCCGAACTGCATAGAAGGGAATGCTTCAAACTCCCGAACTGCATACAAGGGAATGCTCCAAACACCCAAACTGCATACAAGGGAATGCTGCAAACACCCGAACTGCATACAAGGGAATGCTCCAAACACTCGAACTGCATACAAGGGAATGCTCCAAACACCCGAACTGCATACAAGGGAATGCTCCAAATACCCGAACTGCATACAAGGGAATGCTCCAAACACCCGAACTAGATACAAGGGAATGCTCCAAACACCCTAACTGCATACAAGGGAATGCTCCAAACACCCGAACTGCATACAAGGGAATGCTCCAAACACCTGAACTGGAACCTCACGAATAGCTGCTAGCAGACGAACAGACA